TAATGACTTTGCTAAACTGCCCTGTAAGATAAAATTAAAGTTTATAAAAAGACAAATTACTGACTTGGCTCAGAAATTAGTTGAGTAGTACAGGACACAGTAGGGTATTCAAATTGCAAAATACTAGTAGTATCCCAGAAGCTGGGACCTCAACTTATTGAAATGACCAACATTACAGAGAGCCATATACACGAAGCTGCTGATGTCATAAAGCTTGGTATAGTACACATATGTAAAAACATAAAATTACAAAGTGACAATGGCTGATTATGTGAATGGGCAAAACTTTGGTAGATGATTTTTTTTTTGCCTTGGGCAAGTGTGAGGTCATTGATTTTGAACCAAAAGCAAAAAGATAAAACCAATAACTATTTAAATTGTGCAAAGTAAGCAACATTGGAGACTCCATGAGATTTAGGGCACATAGACATAATGAAAGTTTTATTTATGAATTCAAAGTATGCAGTTTCATTGGTTAGGCCAACATTCATTACATAGCTCTAATTGGCTAGAGGGTAGTTAAGAGTTGGTCACATTACTGTAGGCCTAGAGTCACGAATAGATCACAGCAGGTAAGGAATTCTTCCTTAAATGACATTCGTGGACAAGCAGAAGAAGAAACAAAAAAAGTGTTAGGGAATGTTAACCTTGATAACTGGAGAACTAAAATATAAAGTGCAGAATATTTTGCTGCAGTTATTCAAAACCCTTGTTAGACTGTAGCTTGAACAGTATAGTACAGTACAGTTTTGTACTCAACACATAACTTTCAATGCCAGTGTAAAATCTTAAGAAAATATTATCACGGCTCCAAGAGTAGATTATGAGGAAAGATTCCATTAGTTAATCTAATTGCTCTGAAATATAAAACGGGACATAGAGTTAAAAATTAAGGCTCTGCCATTTTAGGGAAGTTAGGAAACTACTGCCACTTTCCCAATATCTCTGTCAACTCTATCATCTCTACGAATCTCCAGTAAATCTGCATTCCTTCAGCTCTGGCCCTTTTTAGTACATTCTTCTTACCTCATCATTGGTGGTGTTCCTTCACCTACACAGGAACTAACTTCTGAAGTTTCCAACAAATCTTTTGTATCGCTTTAACCAAGCTTTTAGTCCACTACTCTTCTATCTCCTCCCATAGCTTGGTGTTAATATTTTTTGATTACACTGTTGTGAAGCATCTTAGGAGTTTTTATACATTAAAAGATGCTGTATGAACACAAATTGTTGACGCTAGTTCTTTTAACTGTCATATTACAAGAGATTAAACATCATCTTAACAAACCACATCCAATCCAGTTTGACATTCTATTGCAATGAGGAATTTGCTGGTCGTGAGATAGTTTTTAACGGTGTAATCAAACTACATACTTCAATTACAAAGTATCCATGTGGTTTGTTCAAACAGTTAGTCTTATTTACAGCTTTCTAACTTACTTTCTGTTTTAAAAGATTCTTTTCCCTCTAAGTACAGATTTTCAAATGCAAAACATCCATCTTAAAGAATATTAGACAGATAAATATTTGTTCTTATAATATTAAAAAACAAAGATGCAATTCATATGTAGTTTCTTAAGATTTCCATAGAAAATAATGAATGGTTGAGACTTTTATGTGATGCAGAGCTAGCTAAAATTACACAGGCACAAAAGGTTATTGTCATGATTGAGATTCACTTATGGTTTTGTTATTTAATAGATTTTTTTGGCAAGTTAGGTTGTGCTACTTGAAGTATATAGAGAATCTGGTGAGGGTAAATGGTTGTTTCCAGAATTATGAAGGGTTGTGATAGAATGAATATGAAAAAGAGCACTATTTTCTTTTGTTATTCTGTATTCAGGGTTATCAATAAGAGATTGAGGAGAAGGGTATGAGGAAAGAATTGTCAGAACTGATATTTCTGCAAAAGATAGTGATTAATGCAAGGGCTACTGTATGTTTTAAGGAAAACAAATTGGTAAGTGTTCAAAACAGATAATGGTCCAGGTCTGTGCAAAATCCTTCAGATTCTTGAATTACTTTAACAAATACTTGGCACAAGCACAATAGGTCACATGGTCTATTTTAACTCTGGACATAGGGATCAAACAGTCACCTACAAGATTTACTCTTAATAATAGAGGAAAAAAACAAAGAAACCTAATAACACAAGGGTGGGCTACTAACAGCTTGCATCATAATGACGGTTACTCAGGACAGCCACATGGAATTTTGGACTCAATCTACTAGTTGAATTAGTATAACATTTTCAATGTGCATCATGAGATACAACACATTAATTTACATTTCAAAGTGATTCACAGATAATCAATTACATTCTAATTATGTTGTCTTTTTATTTTTAAGTTAAAATTTGTACTCTTCAACCCAGCCCAGTGTGTTATGTTCTCCTTCAAGTCAAAAAATCTCGGTTTCCAGAGACTTGATCACGTAATCTAGTCTGATTCTGTGCAACATTGCCAAGAGATTGCTGTATTAAGGGAGGTGGTACATTTTAGATGGATTATTAAATCAATGCCATGTCTGTCATCTAAGGTAGAAGGAAAGACACCGCAACACTATTCATTGGAAAACTGAAGAGTACCCTTCCTATCTTGGCCAACATTTAACTCTCATCAACATCAATGAAACAGATTATCTTATAACTTACCACATTGTGGAAGCTTGTGTACAAACTGTCAATTTTTACATTCAATAGTAACTACACTGGAGATAATTCATTGGCAGTAAAATGCTTTGGAAAGTCTTGACATGAAAGATGCTATGAAAAACAAACACAGGTTCTATCTTTCAAATGCAGGTGCCATTTTACATACAGCTGGGTCCCAGATAGTAAACTGTATGTGTGGTTAGTCTAATTTTTATGGCACTATTTGAAGAAAGTTATTTAGCCAGAATTCTATGATCTTCTTTGACTGAGAAGTTAAAATCCACTCCCACTTTTGCAATTAGCAGAGAGAAGTTTGGTTTAATTTCTTATCTGAAGGATGATCCCCAAGACAATGCGGCACGGTCTAGGACTACATTGGAAATCTGCCTGGATTGCAAATGTACATTCTGGACTAGGGCTGGAACCTAAAAGTTTCCAATTACTAACCAGGACAGGTACAAGAAGCTGAATGGTCGTCTCCTGCTCCAATGATACCTACTAGCTCAAGACCAGAACGTTTTGTGCTTTTATTCAAGAATTGCTATACAAAATTGGTTCACAAGATTAGGAAATGTACATCTCAACTAGGCTGATAAATGTTGAGCAGGAAATTAAATATGATTTGAATGTCTAAGGCAATAGTATAAAAAGTATTCTTTAACATAAAATAATTGTATATAAAATTATTAGGCTTTAAACTGATTTAAAATTATTTTTAGAATACTACTTATTACATTATGTATCATGTTAATATGGGTATGGGAAAGAGCTGGTACAAGCATAGTGGACCAAAGGGTCTGCATGGTTCTATGAAATACACAAAATGCTGCAATGCATTGAAACAAAGTGGCTTATCACTAGAAATTTGGGCGAACTATCTAGCAACATCAGTTAGAAAATAATGACTAACCTTTCAAATATTAAACACATAGTGAAATACTAGCATCAAAAAAAGTGTACAATTTCATCACAATCTTGATGTGTCATCTATGTTAGAATGGTTCGTGCAGTTAAATATGTTGGATAATGTGGTTAAAATTGCAGTTCATAAATACGCCAAAGCCTTTTTAACACAGTATTAAATGTCAATGTACTCTAACATGTGGAAATATAAACTATAATATTTACTGGGAAACATTTACTTTTTCAAATATATATCCCCTCAATTGCTGGAAAGCAATGGTTAACGGGACTAAGGTTTAACGATAAGGCTGCAAGTGCGAATGCAGCTTCCTGCTGAGGCAGTGCTGTGACAATCTTTTTTCTCATGCTTTTATCTTAAGAAAATGTTTACTCTTGCTTGAATACAGTTCCACAGACCTTCCCTACAGCAGTTTCAAAAATTTTAAAAGGCTGCTTGATTTTAGAATGCACCACAACAGAATTCAACAGTCCTCATAAATCAGATCACCTTCCAGCTGAGATCACTAGATAGTGACTTAGCTGAGAAGCATTGAGGCCAACGTATGGATAAGATTAACACTATATGGGAACTAGTTCATCCTTTCATTGCAACAATTTCTATAATGTTCAAACAATGCAAAGTAAGGTGAACTGAAATCAATATCTTTCCTTTAACCCTGTGTTGTGCAATACTGTGGTTAGTGTTGACTAATAAACCAACAGATTAATTTATTTACTATCCATTAATACTGCCATCAAACCATTTTCCATATTCCAAAGATCCTCTTTATTCTGAAGGAAATCACTGCTTCTTTGGACCAAAGTTATTTTGGATTGTAGTAGCCATCAAATCATATGCTAAATTATAACTAATGAAAAACACTGGTAAAGAGACAGTGGAAGCCATGCCTGAGTGTCCCCACATCTGAAACCAAATGGAATGGCAGGAAATATTTAAACAACATCTATTCTGAGAAAATTAAATTAGGATTTTCTTTCATGATCTGAATTTTATCCCTTGCCCCCTATGTTGAGCATTATGATTTTTTGCAGGGATGCAGTTCCAGAGGTTTATTGTAGTACATCCAAGCACTCATTATACATATATAAATCTAGATAGTGAATGTCAATAGGCTAATCAACTACAGAAGACATTAAAGTCGAGTCAAATCGTTTTCATTCAATGTCGAGGCATGTATATTTTCAGCAGGCATCATCAGATGGCCAGCACGAGTCAGAATGTTCTCCTCCACAATCTAACACAAGAGTGGAAGCCAGGTGAAGTATTTCTACCACTGAGATCTGCTTGTAGAAGAATCAGATTTGGGGGGTGGTTTACTTGGCTCAGCTGCCCTGCCTCCTTAACTCCCTGGGCCACCTGTTGGAACCATGGTTTTTACTATGCTTTCAGTAAAATAAAAGGTATAGGCTTAATATTCTTCTCTTTACCTCAGTGAATTAACGTATTTATTTGAAAAGCAGAGGCAACAGTAAATAAATTGTGATACAATTGGAATTATATTCAAACTCCTGGTGGCTGTAGTGAACATCATGGTACACTGGTCCCAGATCTCTAGTCCATCATCAGGAGCCCAAACTTCACATGTACAATGCAACATATTCTACTACTCTGTCAAAGTCATAAAGAAGTTACCAATACATTTTACATTCAGAATTCTCTCACAAATAGTGGTCATTTAAACAAGGAACAAAGCTCTTCTATTTTTACTACTGTGAATCTATTAGTGATTAATAATAGATATTTTTGCAATGCTGAGAGATTGATTAACACGTCCCCTGGGATGCTCTGTGATCCTCATGTTCACCAAGATCTGAGATCTCTCAATGATAAAGGAAATGTGACCACCACAAAGCCCTGGAAACGTCTCGAAGAGGGATATCTCCAACAGTTAATGACATGGAACACATTAGCAGATGGATCAAGGACAATGTCTATAATTACATTTCCATATGACAAATATTCCTGCTTAATACACACTTAATAGATGGCAGTTTAGATTATGACAATTTACACTGAATTATAGGTCGCCAACAAAAGGTTAGGACTTAAACAAATGAAGTATGGGCAATGTTACTTATTTTGCCACTTCTTTTTGCTGATTCCTGATCGTGCTATAGTTTCACTTGCATTTGTCTCCATTTGTCTCCGATATCGTACCTAACCACTACTTTTTGTAAGAATGCTTTGAGAGATTCGAGTTAGACCGTCGAGTTACTTCAGATGCTTTTTATAGTCTGTGAGATCAGAAATTGGACTTCTTGATCACTGCCGTAACAGGAACACAGGTCCATCATGGCATCTACCTAAATGGTGCTCTTAGCTAAGTTCTGTTAAGTGAACAGAAACCAAATAGTCAACTCTGGGGCTTTCTTGATCGGTCTTAATATCATGTCAACTACCATCTTTAAATCATCAGGGGACAATTTTGCAGCATGTGACCTTCAATAGCTAAACACATATTTGCATTAAATGATACCATGGCCAATATAACCCCTTCAGATGCACTGGATTTGTGCAAGAACTCTGTAACATTACATGGTAAAGTATAAATGAGGCAAAACATTGCTATTGAATTAATGCCAGTATGAAACATGCAGAGTAGAAAATACATTGTAAAACATGGAGAGCTGTCAGTAGAAAGACATGTAAAATAAATATAAGAAAATCTAACTCAAAACACATACAAAAAATGTTGGGCCAGCCAACATCTCCAACAATAAAACTCCAAAATGTATAAATTCTCTAAACAACAAAGTGAAGTTAATTATGTTCTGTGAGTAAGCACACAGCAATAGAATACCTGCCAGTTGCTACATGTAACAGCTAGGTAACTGCCAAACCTGATTAGTTACATGAAATACATTTCTCTATTCTTTCATGGCATGTGTTACTTGCAAAGATAGGATTTGTTGTCCAAACCTAATCACCCCGGCTAGGCCATTTCAGAGGGCAATTAAGAGTTAACCACATCACTGTGGGCCTGGAATCACATGTAGATCAGACCAGGCAAGGATGACTAACTTTCCTAAAGGGCATTAGTGAACCAGCTGGATTTTTGAAATGTTCGGTGATAGTTCTCGTCACTGTGACCAGCTTTCAACTCCAGATTTCATTAATTGAATTGAAATCCCACTAACTGCTGTAGTGGGTTTCGTACCCATATTTCTACCGCATTAGCTTGGGACTCGGGATAACCAGTTCAGTGATATTACCACTACTCCATCTTTTCCCTCTAACTATTAAAGTCTTTTGCATAGGCAGAAAATAGTCTATTGGTTGTGAGAGGGCCTGTCATCCTATAAAAGCAATACAGAACAGCATAATACTGATCGTAATTCAAAAAGCTTCATCAGTCATTTACAATGGGTTTGGATCCAGTTGACTTGGACAAAATCCATTATTTTGCAGTTTACCTTTCAGTCCTTGGATGGGAATTGACCTGGCAGCAGTTGCTGCCTGCCAGGTGATACTGCCATTCTTACAGCAGCTGGCTGGTCAGGTGGGACTTCCAACCTTGGGATCCTGGGGAAGGCCATCTGCTGACCAGTTAAGTGCTCACACAGTACTTAGCCCAGAATAAAGGTGATCCTCATCACCTCCGTTAGTGTGTGAACCATACCATGTATTGAGTGTGTTTATGATCAAGGGCGTTGACAAACAATCCGCTGATAACAGAACAAAACCATGGTGCATATACATACTGACAACGAGGCCACCCAATAATGGATAGCGGTACAGAATTATATCATCAACATACTTGTAAAGATTATGGAATCCCATGTGGAAAGAAAAGAATTTGATCTATTCATCCAAAGAAATTCAGTGACCCTGATCATAGTCATTTCAGCAACTCTGTTACAGCTCTTAATGATCGTGAGGGAACATCAGTTTAATTATTGGAATCTACCCAGTATAACCTTGTAATTCGTCTAATCTTGTGATCAGGTAATTTTCAATTTATTCTACTAAGGGAAGTGGTAGCAAAAGCATGAAATGCTAGAAATATCAGATTGTGTAACACTTGAGGACAGAGAAACGGAATTAATGTCACCTAAAATGTTTACTCTTGCTTCTCTCTCCACAGATGCGACTTGATCTATTAGGTACTTCCACAATTTCAGATTTCCAGCATCCACAGTACTTGGCTTTTTTTTCGTGGAAATGGTCAAGGGCCAAAAATAGCCAAAACTACAGGCAGGAATTAATTAACATTCAGTGATACTGTGTGGCTAACACAGTGAATTCACAACAGGAAGTCTGGTATGATTCTACATTTGGTCTTTGTTTCTTTCTATTGCAATTTTAAAATGCAGTCAAGTGCTGATCAGTGAAGACCAACAAGTATATACAATTAAAATTACCTAGTTTATTGCTGTAGAGTTGTGTAATGGAATGCAACCAAATTAGTACAACTGTTTGCTCCTACAGATAGGACAAAACGTCAGTTATTTTCTGCACCATATTCTCTACCAGAGTCAGTATGTAATCTAATAGCCACCTTAAGAGAACGCACTTCAACTGAAAATTTTTACATCAAATTTAACATTCCTAATTTTTCTCAGCGCTAAACAACTGCATAACCTTTTACCTCTTGTGGACGTTCCTCTCCTCTGTCAGGTTTTTAAAAGTCCAAGTTCGGCATGAGGTAATCATTAATCTGATTCTGATCCCCTCTTACTTGGTCCAAATTACAGAGTTGGCTGTGTCCCTTCAAGTTGATTACTTAATTTAAAAATCATCTTCAATATCATGACCATGCCTATCAAGTACTCATTGACCTACATGCTCAGAATCAATTTCTATTCTGCATTTATTACACATTAAAAACAACGAAGATCAACTATCCAAGGCTAACTGTCCATTGCTTCATCACCCTGCATTCTAGCTCAGGGACTCATCTCTTCAGGTCTTGCCACTTTCTTTTCTATTGCCATTGATAAATATATCTTTCTCTCAAACTTTTGTGAATTCTTTCTCCCCTCCTATCCTTTCCCTTATGCTCCCCCATTTTACAGTCTAGGATTCAACGGGCTATAAGAAATTAGGTAGGACTGTGATATGACCAGATAAAAGATGACTGCATTCAAGGGAATTCCAGTCTCAGCTTGTGCTTGCTGGTGATGTTTACTATTTAGTGATATCTAAGAAGTTTTTGCAACAGCTAGCTGGTGTAGGATAAGCTCCAGCTCTTGCCCCTTTCCCCATAAGAAAAAATAATGTCCAATCTCCACTGAATGATAGATTCAGCTCTCAGACTGGAAGAATATCACCAATAGATTGAAGAAAAGAAGGTGGAAGCTTTGTTGGAAGCACGTTGATACAAAAACTGCGGTTGTGCTGGACATTCTTGCATGTAAATAGTACTATTTACCCTACAGTGCCCCTTCTTCAGGGCTATATTCTAGATTGCCTTTTGACTTCCATGGGAAGCAAATCACTCAGAGCTCCTCCTTGCCAAGATCAACTGTGAAGGTTCTGAAATGCTGACTGTTTTTGAGAGAGTCTGAGAAGTTCTTCTCGGATAGCTTTAATGAGCGATGTAGATGATTGGCCAGGCATGAGGTCTTCTGTGCAGGTGGAGCCAAAGCTTACTCCAGGGTGTTGAGCACTACTATGCTGTATGTGCAAAGATGCTGCTGAAGGGTCACGGATAGATGTCTTCTGCATTTGAAAAAGTGGTGAAACATATTCCAGGTGCTCTCGAGTACTTGGCTAAAAACAAAACATAAAATGTTGAAAAGTGGTAATAGCGTAGAGTTAGATCCTTGAAACAAATCATGTGTTAGGTTGCCACTTTAGCTGTTTTGAAGATTAACCTAGGCATTTTCTCAGACGTCAAAATTAGATTCCGCCATTCATCCAAAGTGACACTATTAGATTGCCAAATATTTTGAAAGCTATTGAAACTCATTCCCTCTTACCTAACCCAAAAGCCACTAACTCTTGATTAAAAATGATTCAATGGTTACTGGCATGCTTTCAGAACCACCCACCTTGGGAAGAAACAAAATTAGCTCTAGTTTAATTTTGAATATCTGAATGCACTGTACTCAGGCAGAAAGGCTTTCATTATAAAGGACTATTAGAAAGAATTTGGCAAACTTGATGACATAATTTATGGCCACTGGAAACCAGTTTCAATCAGGGGGTCATAGTTTATTATAGACAGAGACTTAAAGAATGGACAGGCCCAGAAAACATATTGTAAAGACAGAAAAACGAATACTGTGCAGTCCTTCTCAAGGTTGCTTTGTACGTATTACAAATTTGCATATGCTAAAGGTGCTACAGAAAGTTTTGAAGTAGGTACTTCTTGTAGGCATATGTTGCACTGTTATTTGGATCAGACTGTTGCAAAGGATAGATTAAAAGAACAGATCAGTTCTGACGATAAAAATGAGACATTAGTCCTAAAGGACAACTACAAAAAGTGAGTACTCTTATTTGCAGAAGCTTTGAAGAGAAGTATTCCAGCGCCCTCCAGAAGAGGTGGAAAAATCAGTGAGAACATGACAGAAATTAAATAATGTGTATATGGCCCAAATGATAGCTCTTGAGTAGGGCTTCTTAAAGCAGGGATACAGATGTCAAAAACGTTGGGGTTGTGAACCCCAAGGCAGTAATGACCACTGTGCAACTTTAACAGCACCAAAACAACTATACCCCTGCTGTCACAGAACCCAACCTCTCCCATCCCCAATCCATTCGTGCAGTTCTTACTGATCAAGACCAACTGGATTGATTGTCACTTTGTACAGCAATCTTACTTAGAAAATGTTAGCCCCATTGAAATTAGTCAAAGTTGTACTTCATGAAAAGACTCAGTAGCTTCCAAAGCTGAAATAGAGGAATTGCAATTTCTAATTGGACTGCTGAATTTGCTGGGCAACCACATAAAGCCAGATGCTAGTTTTCTGGATTTAGAGTTGAACAAGACTTTGAAAATTATCAAGGTAGAAAATATTCAGGTGAACATAACATTGAAAAAAATTAACAAGATGCAGAAAAAGTCAGAAGAGTCGTAAAAGGTACCTCAGCTGCAGCAACTGTTGTTCTTGTTGAGGCAACACATATGACATTTTTCTTAGTGAAAATATTGGAAGAAAATTTTAAAAAAGGGTTTCAGCAACAATACCCATTGAAAGTCAATATTAAGTCATTTTAGGATAATGTACATTCAACAACATGCATCAATATGAAAAGACTGAGGATCGATATTTAAAACTGATGCTGGAGAAAAGAGAAATCTCTGACGTGAAATAGGATGATAGCAGCAATCAGTTATCTGATTGCTTAACAAAGAAAGGGGTAAGCTCTGAGAAACTATTACAAATACTGGGGAAAAAACTAATTGGAACATTAATTTACATTTGGGAAGGGTGGAAAAAATGTGGCATTAGAGTGCATTGCCATTCTGTTCATTAAATTGTCATTTGTATTTTTGTTTTGTTTGTTTTTCATTATTATTAGACCATAAGATGTAGGTGTAGAGTTAGACCATTCAGTTCATCGAGCCTGCTCTGCTGTTCAATGAGATCACGGCTGATCTGATAATCTTAAACTCCATTTTTCTGCCATTTGTCCATAAGCTTAATCCGCTTACGGATTAAAAATCAGTCTAGCTCAGCTTTGATGATTCAGCCTTTACAGTATTCTGCAGTAAAGAATTCCACAGATTCACTATCCTCGTACAGCAGAATAGTGGGAGGCATTCAAGAAGTTATGGGGAGAGTACAGGCCCAAAATGTTCCCTTTGGTATGAAATATGGGAACTACAAACCCAGAGTACCTTGGATGGCCTGGAATATTCCGGACTGGATAAAAATGAAAAGATAGATGTACAACAGGTACAAAGGAAGCAAAACAACAGAAGGCATAAGAGTATAGAAAGTGCAAGGGATGTCAAGAAAACAATTAGTGAGCAAAGAGGGGCCATGAAAATAAACTTGCAGGCAAGATTAGGGAGAACCCCAAGATATTTTACAAGTATATCAAGGGGGAGAGAATAGCCAAAGAAAGAGTATGGCCCATTAGGAACCAAGGGAGAAATCTGTCCTTGAAGCCAGAAGACATTGGTAGTGTGTTAAACAAGTCCTTCACATCTGTCTTTACTTGGGAGGAGGAGGATGCAAGTACAAAATTTGAGAAGATGGACTATGAAGTTCTTGAGCAGATTGATATAAGAAATGAGGAGATATTGGAGTTTTGCTGGGTTTAGAAGTGGACAAATCCCCAGGTCCGGATGAGTTGTATTCCAGGCTGTTGTGGGAGATGGGCAGAAATAACAGGTCCTGACCAAAAATTTTAATTTGTTTCTGACCTCAGGATAGGTGCCAGAGGACTGGAGGACATCTAATGTGGTTCCACTTTACAAGAAGAGTGGTACAGATAGACCAGGGAATCACAGACCAGTGAGTCTCACATCATTGGTAGGCAAACAATTGGAGAAAATATTGAAGGAGAAAATGCATCTCCATTTAGAAAGGCAAGGTTTGATCAGGGATAGTCAGCATGGTTTGTCAGAGGAAGGTCATGCCTAACAAATCTGTTTGCATTTTTCAAGGAGGCGAATAAGCATGTAGGTGAGGATGGGACAACTGATGTGGTTTATATGGATTTCAGTAAAGCCTCTGACAAGCTCCCCCATGGGAACTGACAAAGAAGGTAAAAGTACACGAGATCCAAGGTAGCTTGACAAAGCGTATCCCAAACTGGCTTAGTGGTAGGAGATGGAGGGTGGTGATAGAACATGGTTTGTGTGACTGGAGCCCAGTGTCCAGTGGCCTTCCACAGGTATCAGTGCTGGGTCTCTTATCATTTGTGATATTCATAAATGGTGTAGATGAGAACGTAGAGGGGGTCAACAAATAAGTTTGTGGATGACTGAAAGACTGGCTGGTTTGTTGACAGTGAAGAAGCTGTAAGGAAGATAGAGACAGATTGGTCAGATTGGCAGATGATTGGCAGATAGAATTTAACCCTGCTAAGTGTGAGGTAATACACTTCGGAAGAAATAACAAGACAATGGAGTACTCAAATTAAAGCAGGACACATAGGAAGCTCAGAGGAACAGAACGATCATGGGGTGCTTGCTGCAGATTCATGAAGGCACACTTTCCACCACAGTCTAAATTAGGAGCAGGCCTGGCCCAACTCCCAATACAGCACAACTCAGACCAAAGGTGTGACTGGGCATTTTTAAATGTTGGGTTTACACAGCTGGGTTTTCCCTAATCTTCATGCACCTGAGTCGGTTCAACAATCAAGGCCCAAAATACCATTTGTGTTCAGCATCTTTCTGCAGAATACAATTGATAATGTAGAAATTCAGTAGCCCTATTCTGGATCTCCGTCTCTACTGGGTCCCTTCACCGTATCCCTGTCACTGGGAAGCTCCTACTACGTACTTCCCCTCTCTACAGCGTTCCTATTCCTTAGCCCACCTCTAATACTTATCCCCATTGTTGCAGCATCCCAACTACGTATCCTCACTTCCATAAAACCCTCAAATCCATCTTTCCATTTTTGCAGTGCCTAACTCTGTATCCCATCACCGTATCCCCATCTGAAGCACCACCACTCTGTATGGCCATCTCTGCACTGTCCCTGCTTCGTATTCACTTCTCTAAAGCAGTCTCCACTCCACATAACATGCATGCAGTGGCCATCTCATCTCTGCAGCAGCCCCTAAGTACATCCAAACTGTTCCTTCCTGCCCAGGGACTCCAGTATATTTTCTGTCTACTAGCTCTTCAATACTTTCTCCATTTCACTGACTCTCCAGTACTCTCTCTATATCCCCAGCTCTGTAGTGTTCCATTCAATCCTACCCTATCCGATCTTACAGCATCCCTTCCCATCCTTCTTGAGCTGCAGTACTCCCTGTACCATGTTACTTTCAGACAACATTTCCGATTACAAAAACTGTAACCTAGGAATTTCATCACCGTGAGTTCTGAAGGAGATTTATCAAAGGAAAACAACATGTCTGACTTACAGTATCTCTGTTTGCAGCAGTGTGCATTAGTCCATCTTCAGGATCATAAGGTGACCAACCAGCATCTCCTGCTCGTCCAGGTCTTCCAAAACGCATCTGTCCTGGCTGTGGCCCAATTCTGTTGTCAACACGGCTCTGTGATACTGGGTAGGCTTGAATCCCTGTGAACAAATGGAACCAAAAATGAAGGCCAACATAGACTGACAAATCTCTTTGGACCTGCATCAGAAGGAAACAAGTGAAAATGTGAATCAAAAACAAAATCAAAAATAAAAAGTATCAAGAAACAGAATTTTAAACATGACCAAGTGACAAAGTGAATAGTTAAAAATTTCATGCTTGTATCAAAACTTGCGAGTACCATGAAACTTGGATATTGAAGAGTGAAGAGGATGATAGCAAAAGAACAAAGCTGGAGAGGTGAAATGGACAAATTCACGACTGCTGAAATTTAAAGAAGAGAATGGCAACATGATGTATTTTGGATGGAAAAGGGAGGTGAAGCAATGTAAATTAAATGGCATATTTGTAAATGATTTGTAAAAGATTTGTAAAGGGATGATAATGGACAAAGACAAAACTGTCTGAAAATTAGTGGCCAAAAACAAAAGTTCTCAAATTTATTTGTGACCGGGAATCTTGTAAATATAGTACTTCATATAGTTTGTGTGAAACATGAAAACTTGAATATCGCCTCATGTGGATACAAACATTAGTTTTTCCTTGCTTTAGTTCTATCATTGTCAATTCAGTGGTACAATGTGTTTGTGTCAAAGCTCCAAATAACCTTTGAATTTAAGCATTCAATTAATTTACTTGTAATCCAGGATAAAGTCCACAGTGACAAAAGAACATGAGCTTGCTGGATTATGTACATGCAAAGTGAATCAAAACCCGACAGCAGTGCTTTGCATACTATTATCAAATGTGACCCCATTTTAACTGTAATTTTCAACAGCATTTTGGATGACCACTGATGTTAGCATTGCCAGTAATACACACATCCCCTCTCCCCTCCACTCATTTACTCAGCTGACTACCCAGCTTTTCCAACAGCTTTACAAAAACACCGAGCCACCCATTGTCATGATGCACCTTCCCACATCCGAGTGGAAAAAGAGCAGATTCTCTATTAACCCAATTAGATCATTCCTGGCTTTCAAACAAACAGTCTTCAACCAACTCATCTCCAATATTCTTATAACCAATAAAGAAAGCAAACTAAAATAAAAACAATTCTCTATAAAGCACCTAGAATACTTCTTCTGGCTTTGCTCAAAGCAAGGACTTTTCAATAAAATGTCATACTTTAATAAAGAGTCTGCTATTAAAAATGTGAAGTGAATATTTGCCATCAGAAATGATTCTGTTATTCTGCTGTCAAACTCCTCATTCAGGAATCGATCTCCATGGATGAAATATCTGCCAGCAGCATTGGCTGTAGGATCAGGCTTTAGTTTTCCTTTAAGCTTTTAGGGTATGTTCCCATTTGCTGAACTGAGCATTTAGCTGATAGGCTTCTTCTGTGTCTCTCATTAATGTCCCTAACACAGCCAGTGACCTTCCTACTTTTTCAGCTCTCCAGAACCGTTTCGGAGTCCTGCAGCTCCTTACTAATTGTTAAAACTTCTTTCTGAGATTGGTCTAACAGGACAGAGCCATCCAACTGTCGTGGCTTCTCGCTGCAGTTAGCTGCCGGACTTCTAAAACTGGAATCTGCACCGTCTCTGTCTCTTCTATCAACTGAGTCCCTTGGAACTGTTTCTTCAGTGACCCACTTAACTATCCTGAGTGACCTACTAAAACCCTTGCAATAAGCCTCTCCATATCACTGGCAAGAATTGAATGAATGTTGCCACCGAACAATTCTTGGGACTTTCTATATCCCTGAATATTACAACTTGCCATTTTCACAGAATGCTGGCATTCAGCACAAGGAATCCTTTCCAAAAAGAGGTATTTATCACAATTCTCACCTCTGAAAGGAACAGTAGCAACAGATACCCAGAAATTCGACTATCCAAATCTTTGAGGGTGGCTGGACAAGTCGAGAAGAGAGTTTAGAAACAGCACAATACCTCTATAAAGGCCACGATGTAGAGTACAAAAGCAAGGAAGGAATGTTTGTCTTGTATAATTAATTAGCTAAGTCTTAGCTATCCATTATTGGGCACCACACTTTAAGATGGGTGCCAAAGTTTTGGAGCAGCTGCAGAGGAGATTTATTAAAACAGGGTTCTGGAGGAGAGACCTTCGTTTTATAGAGAGATGAGAAGAGGAAGAACTGTTCTTCTTAGGGCAGAGGACAGAGAAGAAATTGAATAGAAATTCCAAAATTATTTACATTTTTCTTGGAACAAATAAGGAAAAAATAGCTTTTCATCAGCAGGAGAGTCCGTAATCAGAGGTCATTTAACATACTGGGCAAGTGAACCAAGGGGGAATGACTTTTTTCATGTAGTGCCATTAGATGATGAGGATTGCACAATATGAAAGGACGACGAAAGCAGATTTAATGGACAGATCTAATGTTCAGCACCACTTGCGATTCCTCAGATACTGAAGCAGTCCATTTTCAAATGTAAAAGACCTGGACATTATCCAAGCTTGGGATGACATGTGGCAAGTAACATTTACACCACATAAATGCCAGGCACTGGAAATCTCCATTAAGAGACAATCTAATCACTGCCCCTGGTCATTGAACGCGCACTGAATCCTCCACTATCAGCATTCTAAGGGTTACCGTTGACCAGAAATTTAACCAAACTTGCCGTATAAATACAGTGACTACAAGTACAGATTAGAGGCTAGGAATACTGCAGCAAGTAACCCATCTCCTGACTTCTTAAAGCTGTCCACCTGCTCTAAGGCACAAGTCAGGAGTGTGATGGAAAACTCCCAACTCGCCTTGATGAGTTTTTTTAAAATTCACTCATGGAATGTGGACTTCTCTGACTGGGCCAGTATTTATTACCCTTCCCTTATTGCCCAGAGGGCAGTTAAGAATAAACCACATTGTTGCGGGTCAGGAGTCACATGTAGGGTCAGACCAGGTGAGAATGGTAGATTCCCTTCCCTTAAGGGCATTAATGAACGTTTCATAGTTAACATTAGATCCTTAATTCCAGATTCTTTATTGAATTTAAATTCTACCATTTGCCGTGGCAGGATTTGAACCCAGGTCCCCAGAACATTGATTAATAGTCTAGCAGTGATATGACTAGGCCATTGCCTCCCAGAGCAGTTCCAACAACACATGAGAAGCTTGACACCATCCAAGCCAAAGCAGTCTGCTTGATTGGCATCACATCCACAGCCATCCACTGTCTCCACCACAGATGCTTAGTAGCAGCTTTTTGTATTATTGAAAGATCCATCCAGAAATTCACCAAAGATCTTCAGACAGCACCTTCCAAATCCACGACTACTTCCATCTAGATGGACAAAAGGCAGCAGGTACATGGGAACACTACCACCTGCAAGTTCCCCTCCAAACCACTCATCATCCTGATTTGGAAAAATGTCACCATTCCTTCAGTCGCTGGGTTAAAATCCTGGAATTCCCTCTCTGGTGGCTTTGTGGTTGAACCTACAGCATATGGACTGAGCAGTTCAAGAAGGCAGCTCACCACCACTTTCTCAAGGGGCAACTAGGGACAGATAATAAATGCTGGCCAGCCAGTAACACCCACGTTCCTCAAGAGAATAAAAAAAAATGATAGCCAAATAGAGATTTTCTCCTAATAAAACAGAATAGTTGGCACTGTCGATCTCATAGTTTAATTGAATCCAATTGGAATCTGAAAAAATTCAATTCATTCTTCATCTTCATTTCCATAGGGAAAAGCAAAATAGGACTGGCATGAAACAGAAGCACAAAGTGAGTCACTATCTGCAGTTGCAAACAATGTCTGTAAACTGAATGCTGAAGAAATCATTGAAGAAAAATCAGAGTTAACATTTCAGGTCCAGTGACTCTTCCTCAGAGCTGAGGAAGGATCACTGGACCTGAAATGTTAACTCTAATTTTCCTTCATAGATGCTGCCAGACCTGCTGAGCTTTTCCAGCAACTTCTGTTTTTGTTCCTGATTTACAGCATCAGCAGTTTTTTTGCTTTTTGTTCTGAAGAAATTATACTGTTCATCTCTCCACAGATGCTGCTAGGCCTGCTGCGGTTCTCTAGCACTTTCCGTTTATATTTCACACTTCCAGGATCTGCAGTATTTTGCTTTCATGTGCGTGCTTACCCCTCTCTTACCAGTCACTCATGATTTCTTTGCCTCTTATTTTTATGGTATTCTGATTCATTGCAGCTTGTGCAACAGCTGCAATTTGAAGCTGTGCTTTGCTTAATTCAACCCAATTGAATATAAAGCATTTTTAAAAATCTTACTTCAAAGTATGATACCTCAAGTATTGACAATATTGCTGGATTAGAATTTTGTCACCTTCCAGACATATTTTTATTAGCAGAAAAGAACACTGTTGTATGTGGGTCTGAAAGTGTTAATACTGAGGAGTGACATATGAACTATCCATCATCCTTTGCACTTCTTAGCAGAATAGCTGAGGATCTCCTAAAAGAGTGAGACCTAACATCTGCTCCTCCTCAAAGTTTCCTGTACCATACTAGACAAAGTAGGCCTGACAGAAATGTTGACCAGAGATCAGAGAGGTGTGCTGAGGTGGCAGGCTACTGGAAGCTGGGGGTTATTTTTATGGATGTAGATACATAGTACAGTACAGCACAGAAACAGGACCTTCAGCCCACCACGTGTGTGCTGACCATGATGCCAATTCTAAAGTAATCCCATCTGCTGCACAAGTTTTGTACCCTGCTATTCCTTGCCTGTCCATTTGTCTGTCTAAATGGCTGTTAAACTTTACAAATGCATCTGCTTCTACCAACTCCTCTAGCAGTGCATTCCTGGTACCTACGATCCCTGTGTAAAAAAGTTTCCTTTAAACATTCCCCTTCTCTCTTCATATCTATGACCCCTAGTATCTAACATTTCGACCCTGGGAAAAAGACTCTGATTGTCTACCCTATCCATGCCTCTCATAATTTTATATACTTCTATCAGGTTTCCCCTGAGCCTCTGACGCTCTTGCGAAAACAATCCAAGTTTGTCCAACCTCACCTTATAGCTAATGCGC